AAAGCAATACACTATATATAGAATTTGTGTCAGATTTGTCACTTTCAATGTGAAGTTTCTTTGCAGAAATTTTTAAAAGCTTTTGTCAATTTAGAGTAGGTGAATGAGTTAAAGCAAGATACTATAATCAGTAGATATACCTACCAGACACTGGTAAACTGCAGTATTTAATCATATAAATAAATTGGCGAGGGTACAATTGTCAATCCCTCTCACTGTAGAGCTCCTATTCTTATCTCAAGACATGGATTATGTAGATGTGGATAGCAGAGATTGCTCAACCAAGGACGGGGGATGGGCATGTTTATATGCCAGATCCTTTAGGTATTATTCAAAGGTTGCTTCTGAAAGCTTGGTGACATTAGTCAAGGCAACATTTTTTTTGATATGACCCCAGAAACACAGGCAACCAAAGCAAAAATAGGCAAGTGGGATTATATAAACTAAAAAGCTTCTGCAACAGCGAAGAAAACAATCAACAGTGTGACAAGACAACCAATGGATTGGGCACACATATTTACAAACCACGCATCTGATAAGGGGTTCAAATCCAAAATATATCAGGAACTCAAAACAATTTGATAGCAAAAAAAAAAAATTCCTATTAAAAAATAGGCAAAGGGCCTGAATCAACATTTCTCAAAACAAGACACTCAAATGGCCAACAGATACATGCAAAAATGTTCAGTATCACTAATCATCAGGATAATGTAAATTAAAATCACCATGAGATATCACCTCACATGTATTAGAATGGTTATTATCAAAGAAACAAAAGATAACAAGTTTTGGCAAGAAAGTGGAGAAAAGAGGATGCTTACACATTATTAGTAGGAATGTAAAGTAGTTCAGCCATTATGGAAAACAGTATGGAAGTTCCTCAAAAAGTTAAAAATAGAACTAACATATGATCTAGAAGTTCTACTACTTGCTATATTTAAAATGATATGAAATCAATATATGGAAGAGATATTTGCACTCCCACGTTCATTGCAGTAGTATAGCCAAAATGTGGAATTGACTTAAGTGTTTGCTGGTGAATGAATGGATAAAGAAAATGTGGTATATATACAAAATTTAGCCTTAAAAAGAAGGAAATATTGTCACTGGTGACAACATGAATGAACCTGAAGAACATGATGTGAAATAAAATAAACCAGACACATAAGACAAACACTAAATGCTCTCGTTTATATGTGGAATCTATAAAAGTTGAACTGGTAGAAGGAGAGAGTAGAATGGAGGTTACCAGAGGCTGGGTGATAAGGGAATTGGGGAAATGTCAATCAAGGGATGCAAAATTTCAGTTAGGAGGAGTAAGTTTCAGGGCTCTATTGTAAATTACGGTGACTATAGATAATAATAATATATAGTTGGTGCTCTGTATCTGTGGGTTTTGCATTGATGGATTCAACCAATCTCAAATTGAAAATATTTTGAAGAGCTACAAAAGATAGCAATACAACAGTAAAAAATTTACACACATTAAAAAATACAGTGTAACAATTATTTATGTAACATTTACATTGTAATAGGTATTGTAACTAATTTAGAGACGATTTAAATTATACAAGAGGATATACAGTAAGTTATATGCAGATACTTTGCTATTTAACATAAGAGACTTGAGTGTCTGCAGATTTGGGTATCTGTAGGGGGTCCTGGAACCAATCCTCCATGGATACCGAGAGACAACTGTATACTTGAAAAAGATAAGTATGTGTCCTACTTTATATTTTAATTAGCTTGATTTAGTCTTTCCACAATGTATACATACATACTACAAGGCATCAAATTGTATGCCACAAATTATACAATTTTTAATTTTCAATTAAAAATAAAATAAAGTTTGATTCTGGGTTGGGGGAGGGTTTCAATTCCTCAACATATCTGGCTTGTTATTCTGGGAGTAGGGGAGGAAGAAAGAGTAGGCTTTGGCCAATAAATACTTCATATAGCTGTAGTTCTAACTAGCTTGTACTAAAGTGGTAAGAATGGTGAGAATATGAGTGGGGTGACAATGGTGTCTGCTACTATCCTACTAACGGACTGAAGGAACTGGCTGAGAGGGAGGTGGATGATGTATGGGACCTAAGAGGTAAGGGAAGGAAGAGATAAATGGTGTCAGACTGAAAATTATAGACGGAAGAATTATCTGGGAACCCTGGTACCTTATCTTCAGTCTGGAAGGAAGAAAGGAAGATGGCTGCAAATGTAGACAGGTTTATGGTTTTTATGACAGGAAGGTGTGGGATTAACATTTGCTTTTTTTGTTTTCTTGGCAACCTGTGGGAAAGGGTCAGCTCTAGAAAATGAGAGAATAAGTTAGCAAGGCAAAGAGATTTGTAGTAGTCACCAAGGGAAAGAAGAGACAAATTAAAGAAATATGAGCAGCATTTAAGAGCTCTGCTAAGGTAAATAACCCAAAATTTATGGTGTCACAAATTTTATGGTCTAGTAGATCATCTCCAGCAGCCCTCAGTAGAGAAGGTAGAGGGGAAAAATGCAAATTGCAGAATTTATTTATTTATTGAATAAATATTTATTGAGCATCTACTATGTGTTAGGCACTGTCTTAGGAGCTTGAGATAAAACCATGACAGAATAGACAAAATTACCTGATCTTGTAGACTTTACATTTTGGAGGGAAAGTGCAGAAAATAAAGCCAATGAATAAAATTACAGTATAACGTGATAAGTACAGAGAAAGGGATAGAGGATGTTGAGACAGAAGAGGGTTTGTCATTTTGTATAGAATGTGTGGGAAAGACCTCCCTGAGAGGTCGAAAGAGATGCAGCTATTCAGTTATCTGGGAAAGCATGATTCAGACAGAGGAAGCAGCAAATGCAAAGGCACCGAGACAGAAGTGTCCATGGTATGTTTGAGGAATGGGCAAGAAACCCGGTGTGAGGACGGGATCAATGTGTGCAAGGTATAAATGATATAAATTAAGTTCAGAGAGATAAAGTTGGAGGTCCACATTGGATATGATCTTGTGGCCCATAGCTTTTAAACAGATTCAGTGTTGGAAGTTTGAGGGAATATGAGGTGTGAGGACTGGAAGCAGGAGTGTTGAGAATGTCAGTGAAAGTAAATTTCAAATGAATCCAAGAGTGGGCAGGTAAATTGGTAGCATTGTGAAGAATGGGAAGAGAATCAGGAGAGAATGAAAGCATAGAAAGCAAGGGAGGAAGAGTTTCTAGGTAGTGGGTATGCTTATTAATGAAAATTAACATTTATTTAGCATGTGTGATGTGCTAAGTACTTTGTGTTGTTATCGCATTTAAATTTCCCACCCATCTGATGTAGTAATAAATATTATTATCCAAATGTGCAGATGGGCACATTGCAGTGTAGAGTAAGCCACATACCCAAAGACATGCTGCTAGTTAGTGGCAGAGCTAGCATTTGAATTCCATCAGTCTAACTTTTATGCTCCCTTCCTCTCTTTTCCCTGCAGTTTTGCTGAGGTATAATTGACAAATAAAAATTGTATATATTTAAAGTGTACAACTTGATGTTTTGATATGCACATACATTGTAAAATAATCACCCCAATCAAGCTCATGGACATATTCATCACCTCACATAGTTTCAATTTTCTTCTTTCTCTCTCTCTTTTCCCTCCCTCCTTCTCTCTTTCATCCTTTTTTTCTTTTTTTTTCTTTTTTTTTTTTTTGGTGAGCACACTTAACATCTACTCTCTTTGAATGCTGCATAAGACACCTGTGTGACAAGGATAAACACAGACCCATGGGGGAGTGGCTGGTAGGAGGTCATTGGTGAAAGCAGGTGGGAATGGAGGCAGTACTTTGCAGTAATTTAGTGACTCAGTAGATGGCAAGGAAGTGGAGGCAGCAGGTGTTGGATGGAAGAGACAGGGTCATTATGGATAGTGACATCAAGATAATGTAGAATTTTTTTTTTTAAAAAGAGAGAGACTCAATTGGTTTAAAGCCTGAGAGGAAGGTGCCAGAAGAAAACGACACAATGAAGACAAAATTGTGAGTTGAATAAAATATAGAGCAAGGTCAAGGAGCAAGTTTGTAGGGTTGGAGTTATGAAATAGCCTGGGAAAGGAATACCCCATTTCATAGACAAATAACTGAAGACCAGAGAAGTAAATGGTGAACCCAAGGTTATAGAACCAATTAAACAGTAGCTCAGGGACCAGAGTCCGGGTTTTCTGATTGCCAAGACAGGTGCTTTCCACTAGTCCACCCAACAACTCTTGCTGAATCATCCTCTACTGGTTACTTATCCTCAATCCAAAGGAAGTTATTGTAGTTAATAAATAAATACAGTGTAGCCAAAAACCAGTGTAAACACACAACTCTATAAAAACACTAATGACACCTTGTCCTTCCAGTTTCCTTCACAATACCCTCCCCCTATAGCTCATTCACACTGAGTACTGACTTGAGTATAAACTTCCTTCAAGATACTGAAGGTTCCCAGTATTTATGCTAAGCAGGGACTCAGGTGGAGAGAACTAAGGTCACCCTCAGGGAATTTCTTGCTGAATTAGGTTCCACTAAGCCTTGAAATCAAAATGCTTCTGCTAGGTAAATGGGGTGCAGATGGGAAATCAAACCAGTGTGTGACTGGGCATGATTTAGAGCAACTGTTATTGATGTGACAGATCCTAGCAGGCAACCTCATGAGAGCCTGCATTTTCATTGCAATGCAAGCAGATAAAATGAATAATTGCAATTTTGACTTTTGAATTTCCTGTACCTTGCCAGTGTTTATTTTAGCTATAATCTGGGTCATGTATATTCTAAGGAGGCTTTTGATTTAAGAACCTAGATTTTTTTGAAAGGCATGCAATATTCAATGTATCTCTATGCATAAGATTTTATGTAGATATTTTGATGATGCAAAATTTCTACATTATATGAAATATAAGTTTTTTTAACTTTGGCGGAATAACAATAGTTTATTTCTAACATACATTATCTTGGTCAAACATTGAAATTCTTGATTAATGTTTAACTACAAGTATACTCATTTCAAGTAAAGGATCAGTTTCAGGGTTCAGGTTGAAGTGTCTTGATGACAAGAATTCAGGTTCCAAGGAGAAGCCCATAAGGCTAAGGGTATTGGATATAACGGAAAGTGGAAGCTATACCTGACTTCCAGAGAATGTGGACTGGATATAAGATCTTAATCTTCTCTTACCTTACTACAGAAATCTGGATGGAGAAGCAGTATTTACCTCAAAGAGAAGTGGACCTAGCAGCTTATTTCACTAGGAATCACACCGTTTTTCAAGGTACTCGATTCAAAAGAGCCATTTTCCAAGGGCAATACTGTAGAAATTTTGGCTGTTGTGAAGACAGAGATGATGGCTGTGTCACTGAGTTCTATGAGGCGAATGCATTGTGCTACTGCGATAAATTCTGTGACAGAGAAAATTCTGATTGCTGTCCTGACTACAAGTCCTTTTGCCATGAAGAGAAAGAATGGCCTCCTCACACACAGCCTTGGTATCCAGAAGGTAGGCTTTGAGAATGTGTTTCAACATTATCCTCGTTCATAACAACAAGATCTGACAAACTTCCTCTCTTTTTCCTTCTTTCAATGAAATAAAAATGATTACTGCAATTGATAAAATACATTTCTTTGGATTGTTAAAGTGCTTTGGTTTGAATGTGGGGTTCCTGTGTAATACAAGCAACTTCAGGAAATTTCTGATCTGACAGTCCTGAGTGCTGATCGGAATCCTGACCAGTGAGTTTTGAACACTCACTCAACTTATATAAGGATTACTTAAAACTCTTCTCTCTCTCTCCTTTGTATTGACATCATGTTTCTCAAGACTTTTTGTCTGTAACCTCTTAGAGAGTCTCAAGAAAGTCACAAGATTTACTATCTTGTGATAGTAACTAGAAAGTCACAAATCTACGATCTGTAGATTTTAGTTGTTATTTCAAGGGGCTAATGGATGCACGAGCATTAGAAACTGTGGTATTAGTAATGCTATTAATTACTAATAGCATTAGTACTAGGACAAAATAAAATAAAGTCAGGCACCCGCTCTGCCTAAGTCATACCAAATATATTCTTCATGTGTATTTTTGTTTTGCTTCATTTGTTTTTCCAGTCTAGGACTTTTAAAATTATTGAAAAGAAAGGAGGAATTCATATAGAGTAGTTGAAAAAGTCTAAGGTTAAATGGATAAATACAACATAAGGAGGATGATGGTATTCATTATATTTATCTAATTGGAGGAGAATGACTATGGATTTTGAGCATTTGATACAATCAAGCTCTGCAACAAAAACAAAACAAAATTCTATAACTACACTTAGATGAGGCTTTATTTTTCTGTCTCTCATTGTATGAAATCTCCTCAGCAGAACTTCAGGGTTAATCAGACTTCTCCGTCACACTACTATAAATGGGTGATGGTGACTAGAAATCCCAGTTAGAAGACATTTTAGGGTAAACTAGGGGCTTGGAATCCTTACTTCAAAATCCAGATGTCATTTAAAAAGTCAGAGCAAGCGTCTGTTTAAAAAAAAAAAACAAAAAAAAAACCAGATGCCATAGCTTTCATTCTCAATAATGCCATCTTGCTTGTAAAATTGAGGAAATGTGTTTACATATGTATTATTTTAAATTTTCCACATAATGATAATTTATCCTTAGTCTTTACATTTTACCTATAAACAGCGTTCCCTTCTTCCCTCCCTCCATCCTTCTCTCCCCTTCTTTTATCCTTCCTTTTTTTCTCTTTGTGTGTGTGTGTGTGTGTGTGTGTGTGTGTGTGAGAGAGAGAGAGAGAGAGAGAGAAACAGAGTCTTGCTCTGTCATCCCGAATGGAGTGCAGTGGCAAGATCATGCCTCACTGTAGCCTCGAACTCCTGAGCTCAAACAATCCTCCTCCCTCAGCCTCCTGAGTAGCTAGGACTACAGATGTGTGCCACTACACCCAGCTAATTTCTTTTCTTTTATTTTTTGTAAAGATGGGTTCTTGCTATGTTTCCTAGGCTCGTCTTAAAACTCCTGGCCTCAAGCTATCCTCCCACCTTGACCTCCCAAAGTGCTAGGATTATAGGAATGAACCACTGCGCCCAGAGTTTCCTTCCTTTCTTCCTTCCTCTCTCAGTTCCTCCTTCCTTTCCCTTTCCTTTCCTCTTTTCTTTTCATTCTTTCTTCTTTCTTTCTTTCTCTCTCTCTTTCTTTCTTTCTCTCTTTCTTTCTTTCTTTTTTTCTTTCTTTTCTTTCTTCTTTCTTTCTTTCCTTTCTTTTTCTCTCTCTCTTTCTCTTTCTTTCCTTTCTCCCCCTCTCCTTCTTCCTCTCCCTTTCCTTCCCTTTCCTTTCCTTTCCTTTCCTTTCCTTTCCTTTCCTTTCCTTTCCTTTCCTTTCCTTTCCTTTCCTTTCCTTTAATTTTTATGAGCCATTCCCATCTTTCTCCAATGGTAACCTCCTTTAAAAAAAAGTTTGTGTACCCTTTTACAGCAGGTAGTCTTGTTTTGTGTGCTTGAATTATTAATTTATATAGACCATATTATGCTACAGACCTCATGCTTTTTCTTGATTTTCTCAGACAGTAGCATGTTTTAAGACTCTCTCCATGTCTCCACGGACTACTAGGACTAGTTTGTGGCTTCTGACTGATGCTTAATTTTCTGTGATGTCCCTTCATCTCATCTAACTCCCTGTTCCCTCCATGGTGGGTGGACACCTAGGTTGTCGACAGCTCTTTGCTATCATAAAGAAGTCCATGATGGACAGCCTCATGCATGCCTTCTTATCGACTTGCATGATACAACAAGACTTGAATTGCTGGGTCCCAGGTATGCAGGTAATCTGCCAGATGGCTCTCAGAAGTAGCTGCATTAGTTTATGGTCCCCTAGTACTATATGGGGACACACCTCTAACAATTAATATTATGCAGAGAAGTAACCTTTAGTTATGTAATCACTAACACATGATTTCTCATTGTCATTTTAATTTGCATTTCTCTAATTTCTAGTAGGTTTGAGCTTCTCTTCATATGCTCCTTAATGTTTGTCTTTCTTCTATGACTTACTTTTTCCTATGCACAGCCTTGTAATACAACTTAATATCCGGTACAGCAAGTCAGCTTATTCACCACCCCCTTTTTTGAAAATGACTTAGGTCACATAGACATTAATCTTCCATAAACAGTTTTTGAATAAGTTTTTCTAGTTCCTCAAAAACCTTCAGCTAGAATTTTGAATAGAATTGCATAAAATTTATAGACGTATCTGAAGATAGTTGAACTCTGTAATGTGATGACATCTCATCAAAGAGTGTAGGATATTTCTCCTCTTACTCTGATTTTTAAAAATACCCTCAAATAGATTTAACACTTTACTCTATAGTGGTCTTATAATACTCTTTGTTTATTCCTGGATATTTTAAGATTTATTTTGTGTTGCTTTTTTTTTTTTTTTTTTTTTTTGACAGGGTGTTGCTCTGTCACCCAGGCTGGAGTGCAGTGGTGCCATCTCAGCTCAATGCAACCTCGACCTTCCCTGGGCTCAAGTGATTCTCCTGCTTTAGACTTCCAAGTAGCTGGGACTACAAGTGCCTACCACCATGCCCGGCTATTTTTTTTTTTTTTTTTGCATTTTTAATAGAGATGGGGTTTCTCCATGTTTCCCAGGCTGTTTCAGACTCCAGAGCTCAAACATTGTATTGCATATTTTAAAAATATATTTTATAGTTGGTTGACTGTTGTTATGAATAAATGCTATTTATTCATGAGAGCTCATATCCTATGTGGCAATTTTTCTCAATTCCGTTATTAGAAACAAAAATGTATTTCTTTATCGCAGTAAAGATGTCTACACCAAAACTCCAAAGTAAACATCATACATAATGGAGAAATGTAGATATGTTCCCTTTAAGACTAGTAATAAAACATGGATTTCTACTTTTTTTGCTATATTTAACAGGGAGATATTTGTTATGCTTTAAGAGAAAAAATGAAGTAAAACAATCTGAAGAGAAAAAGTAAAACTTTTATTATTTGTAGATAATGTGGTAATCTATATAGAAAAAATAAAACCAACAGAAAATAGCATTAATATGTCAGAAATATTTAAAAACCAGAATTTTCTATTAAAAAATCCAGATGTTTAGCTACTCTTGAAAAATTGAAAAATCTGACAATTCTGCGTCCAGGGTCTCGCACGAGGTTGTCATTGGTTAGAGAGATGAGTGGTGGATGCCACTTTTGGTAACATGTGTATTTTCCATTTTCCCACATACCTTACTCCTTGCTATTTTCTCTCTGACCCACTTCTTTCATTTCTGCCAGGGGTCAATATGTCTGTAGTTTCTGTAAGTGGAACTTACCTCGGTTTTGCTCAATATACAACTTATACAACTGTACATGGACCCTTGGGCCATTACTATTGCAGGTATTTTGGGATTGAAGGAAGGTAATTTATTTGAAAATGGAAGGTATATTTTCATTGAAAAATAGAAAATACATGTTTAAAAATAGAAAATACATGTTTAAAAATAGAAAATACATGTTTAATAGAAAATACACCTTTAAAATGCTAATTTTAACTTCTCTATTTTGTCATGTTGGTATGATCCTTAAAATAATAGGTGAAGTTAATATATATTAGTAACATGATGAGAAAACATAAGGCATCATAAGGAGCCCTGTGCCCAGGATTAGTTAGGGATCATATTCCTGTTATTCAAATGTAGTTTCTAATAGTGACAAGATTGGGCAGTCAAGGGAAATTCAGCCCTCATAGAACCTGCGCACACTACATATTTAATTAACAGACCCTTCCGTAACATACCCTGAGTAGCATGTTTTTTCTTGTCTTACTGAACATACTCTTCCTCCTCCTTACAAACTAAGATTTATTGAATACTTACAATGGAGTCAACAACTGTTCTAAGCACCTTTCAGGTATTAACTCATTCATCATTTAATTATACATTGTTTAATAGAATATTACTTTATTTTAATTATACAGCAACTTCTTGAGAGTAAACATGGTGATTTACTTATCACATACTAATTATGGTGTCATGAAGTGGGAGGCCTAGTAAATATTGGTTGAATTTGGATTAATTGGTATTTAGAGGATTTTAATTTTATTTCAAATTTTGTATTTGTTGAATTAAATAATTTCCTCATATGACTTAAAATAAAATATTTTCATAAGTATACTTTTTCATACATAAAGTAGTTTTAAAAGATTTAGAAAGTATCAAAGTATTATTGTTTATGGTTTAAATGTGCAATTTCTATATTATTTTGGATGTTGGAATATTAACAGGAGTAATTGATAGTATTTAAAACTTTTTATATATCCAAGATTGCAGTAAGCATTGAGGGTCATAAGAAAAGAGTATTATAAAGTCCCAGGCCTTGAGAAACTTAGGATCTACATGGGTAAGGAGACTTAGGTATATGAAACAATTAGGAAGCATTGTGTGATTTGTATGCCACATGTAGACAAGAATATCACCCAGGAAAGTTGAATATATT